GGATTCCATCTGTTCACTCACAAGCAAATTCGGCCCCTCTTTAAAACCTTTTGTATGAAGATGGGGGAACTGTTTCTATTCAGCAGATTTATGATGGAATTATTTTTGCGAATAGTTCCCAAAGCGTTGCTGAACATCTGTCTCTTTTCCTCTTTTGGACAAAAAAAATTCCCTTCTTTGATTGTTTTCTAGGTAAAATTCAGCACAAAATAAAGCTGTGTCTATATTACTTAAATATGAAACTGTCATTTCTTTTGAACAGCCTCTGATGAAAGCACTAATCTTGAGGAGGGTAACAGAAAACACGAACAGACTTAGTTTTGGCCTCAGTGGGTTCAGTGCATCAGTCTCTTTGCTACAGGGCTTGTCTTGCTTTCAGAATTACTGGTCTAAACTGTCAACACTGAGCCACCCAACTATAGCAGTAGCAACACTTTAAACTACAGTGTGAAACAGAGTTCAAGACAGCCTACAGAGATACAGTATACAGACTACTCACTCACCCTCCCTTGGCCTCCTATTGGTTTATCTGTCCACTTTTTTCCCCTGTCTGTCAGTTTGGAGTCACGGTGTTTGAGCCGGCAGGGTTCAGCACCTGAGAAGACACAAGTTTAAAGTCTGGTTACAGTCACTACAACGGCACTTAAGGGCAATGTTCTGCTTGACTTAAAGCAATCACAGGGGGAGAACGTATCATAAGACTGAGATATTTTTCACTGCAAAACTTTGAGCTTTACTTTTTCCTTTGCCTTCATCAGAAACATCAAAAAGAAAGGGGATAGGGAAAACAAAACCTTAGATAAAAAATGTAAAAAAGTATTAGAATTGTAGCAAACATTTCTAAAAAGAAACTACAGAGAAATTATTGCGTCTCTCTCTCTTTTTTTCCTCTCGTAGAAAATGAAGAAGTGCACCAACTGGCATAATCTTTGCTAACCAGAAAACTGACCCTAAAGAGGAAGTGGACTATTATTTGCTTGTGTCACTACACACAGCAAAGTGTTTGAAATGAGAACTTGCATGCAAACAGTTCGATCACATTGCACTCTATCACAGAACTATCTATGAAATGCTGTTGTTCATTCCTCTAAGACAGGGGTGTCGAACTCCAGGCCTCGAGTGCCGGTGTCCTGCAGGTTTTAGATCTCACCCTGGGTCAACACACCTGAATCAAATGATTAGTTCATTACCAGGCCTCTGGAGAACTTCAAGACATGTTGAGGAGGTAATTTAGCCATTTAAATCAGCTGTGTTGGATCAAGGACACATCTAAAACCTGCAGGACACCGGCCCTTGAGGCCTGGAGTTTGACACCTGTGCTCTAAGACTATCTATTAATTTAGCTGCACAATTCATCCAACATTAGCCACTTCCCAATGATGACATAATTTACTACCTGACACATTTTTTCTTCCGTAGAGCCATCACAGCACAAAAGGTTGCTTATTTTTGTTATGATAAGCACTTACTACTTTTCACCTCGCTCTTCTACTTCTCTTACACAACTACCTTTTCATAGTCGCTGAACACTTCCTGGTCCTATTTCACAATACAACCTTGCTCTTTTCTTTTAACAAGCTTTAGTCTAGAAAGAAAATTATGAAATAGTTTTGTATTAATACTCTGATAACACATTGCTGGTTTATGTTCTGTGTTTCTGCGATGCAGTAAAAGGTATGATTGATCTGCTTTACCAGGAAAGTTGTCACCATGTCCTGAATTCGGTCCCAATCATTCCAAAATCATATCACACACCCCTACTTTAGAATTAAATAAACAAAAATGTGTTAAGGTGGCAGATGGTAAGAAGTGCAGCTGTGCTGATAGCAACAGATTGTGGAAAATTGTGCAATATTAAAATTGGGTAGTTGCCATTAAAATTTTCTAGAGTCTACAGCCTGCCCTGTTAAGCACAGTTTTATCACATTTCAAATTCACTGCAAAAACACATTAAAGAATAACTGATGAAACAACTGGAGACAGTAAATGATGGGTTTTTCATAACACAGTAAAGACCAACCACCCTTGAATGGTGGATCATGGTGGTAAAGATTTTGGTTGCACACCTTCTTTATGTGTGCACTGAAGAAATTTCTGAGTATAGGTCTGAGAAGCTATATACTGTTGTATATTACAGTCAAATCACTAACCTATGAGACACTTTGTGAAAAAAAGAAAAGAAATTGATGTTCCTGAAAAACCAGATATAACAGTCTGACAGTGGCGCACCCTCAGAAAAAAAGTAATAAGACACTATCATACAGCCAAGAAAATCAAAGCAAAACAAATGTTGAGTATTTGCTGTGTGTTCTTTCGAGAAGCAGTCACACCTTGGATAATAGAGCATAAATAAGGTGTGGCACTGGCAGGTGTAATGGATCTCATGGTTCTGCAAGACAAACTGGTTTCCAGAGATTTTGTTTGTCAGTCTATTCATTATGTTTACACGTGCATGCAAACACAGGACGCTGCAAAGACTGCACACACACACACACACACACACACGTACAAACACATGCATATTTTAATGCTTTTTACTAATTGTGTTCACTAAATTGTGTACACTCACTGGCCACTTTATTTGGTACACCTGTTCAGCTGCTCATTAATGCAAATTAACAATCTAATTATCCAATCACATGGCAGCAACTCAATGCATTTGGGCATGTGCACATTATCAAGACAGCTTACCTAAGTTCAAACTGAGCATTAGAATAAGAAAGAAAGGTAATTTCTTTCACTTTGAAGGTGGCATTGTTGTTGGTGCCAGACAGGCTATCAAACCTTGACAAAGATGGGCTACAGCAGCAGAAAATCACACCAGGTGCCACTCCGGTCAGCTAAGAACTATCGCTCTGTCGTGGTGAAGAGAGAGCTGAGGCTGAAGCTACAGTAGGAATAAATAGGATTAAAATTCCAAAAATTAGACAATATGAGTGACTGGATAAGCACTAAGTCTTGATTTCTGCTATGACATTCAGATGGTGGGGTCAAAATTGTGTGCAAACAAATTAAAGTACCCTGTTTTGTGTGGTGCAGGGGATGTTTTCTTGGCACACTTTGGGCCCCTTAGTAGTAACTGTGCATTGTTTAAACCCCACCGCCTACCTGAGTATCGTTGTTGACCATATCCATACCCTTATGACCACATTGTTATAAAGGTGTTTCCAGCACCTTGTTGAATCTATGTCATATGGAATTAAAGAAATGCTGAAGGTAAAAGTGGGGCCAACCAAGTACTAACAAGGTACATCAAATAAAGTGGACGGTGAGTGTATATTTCACTTTAATGATGTTATTTTGCATGCTTTTTTCTGGGGGGGGACTACAGTTTGGGAGGGGTTTAAGCACCTCAGGGTCTTGTTTATGAGTGACAGGAGAAGGGAGCAGGAGATCGACGACGGATTGGTGCTGCGGCTGCTGTGATTTGGACGCTGTATCAGTCCATCGTGGTAAAGAGAGAGCTGAGTGTAAAAGCGAAGCTCTCAATTTACCGGAGAGATTATATCTCTCGCCTGGCCAGGGAAGGCCTTGGTATTCCCCCCTTTAATGTAAGGCATAATCTGCTTGTCTTTTTGAAATTTTGGTTTCTGTGTGTGTGTGTGTGGGGGGGGGGGTATCTGGAAGGTTTTATATTATTTAATTAACAAAAACTAAGCACTACTCAGCAACTTGAGCCATGTAGAGTATGCAAATATGAATCCTTGAATAGCTAAGCTAAAAGTTAATTAGGACATGTTGTTAATGCTTTCTATGAGTACACTGAGTGCAGACCAACTATTCAAAGCAGACATAGCAAAATAAGTGCACCATTATGGGGAAATTTAAAAAACAAAAAAGAAAGCATTTTATGCTAAAGATTGCCCATCATTAAGTAAGCAGTCTTTCAGTTTGATAATAATGCATTACAATTTGTGTGGCATATCCTGTGGCAATATTCTGTAGCAACTGACACATAAATTAGATCTCCCACAAAACAGAGATTTAAAGCCACACTGTAATTACAGATGTGAATATTATATCCTAAAAATATCTCTTCATATTGTTATTTTTCACAGAAAATGTGACAGATATATTGTGCAGAGGTATAGTAAAGAACGAGATTATGTTTAGAAAATCATTTTTTACACCTCTTTAGAGCTGGAAAAGTGACACAGATGTGTATTAGTTTCCTTTGTAGCAAAGCACTACTGCAGGAGTTAACTAAGACATACGGCATTGTCAGATAACAATCACCATCGACTGGCACGGCTCTTAATAGAGAGCTCGAAGGAAGAGAAAACAAACATTGTGTCGAGCATTATTTAATTTGTCAATCCTTCACATTTCATTTGCAAACCATTATTGATAGTACAAACAAGAATCTTGATGTCAAACTGAGACGCAACGGTGCAATGAAGCATAGGCCAAGACACAATTTTACGCTACAGTAGGAGGTATAGGAATTTTACTCAATTCATAAACCAAAAACCCTTAAAAAAATTAGTTTGTTTTTACAGATGGCCAGAAAAAACACACAGATTTGGACTCTGAGGCCTTGCAGAAGAGTAAGGTACTTTCAACACAGCCGAGGGAAGCTGGAGACAAAGATGACCAAGTAAATTACACACCTAACCCTAACCCTTATTTTCTGACCAGCAGGAAACCCCCTATTAATTACTCAATTTAATAATTCTTCTACCAAACAGCAAAAAGTAAAATCCGCGTATTTTCAGAGCAACTGCCTCACATAATAAAGGAATTATAGCTAAAATCTCCACTTTTTAAGAAATGCCTACAAACATGCCTTAGTTAACAGTATAAATGTAAAGCTGCAAAGATTTCTGCTGCTTCTTGGCTTGTTGTGTACGAAATGACAACATTTAGATTAAAATTGTGGACACCAAACAGAGTGGCTCCTGCTGTGCAGGAAGCTAATGGGAATACAAATAAACAAACAGACATGTCTCCATTTACACTCCTATCAAGGTCAGGGCTGTGCTCTCTGATGCATATGCTTCATGATACTATGCAACAGAATACACCGCTACCCTCATTTTCCACACGTCTTATTAAAGAACATTGTCACCCGGGGCCTTTGAATTCACTGGATAGATTTTAAAACCTTTCATCATTCATATTTTGTGTATTCATTTTGCTGAGTACACCTACCTTTACCATGCTTTTGTCTACTGTGGATTACTCACAGAATCCCAGATAAAAGAGACTTTTTCATTAGTATAGAGCCCTCATAGTGTAATGTGTGAGGATGTTGCCATTAGTCAGACAATAACGTACTTCTGTTGTGTTGTATTAGTGTGTGTGGGTTTTTTTAAACTGCTACAGCTATCAATGATTTATTAGGTTTCCTGAGTGCAGCATGTTGAATATCTAGGGTTTATTTGATATTAATTCACAATGACATAAGTTGGCCCTCTACCTTTGGGACTCTACTCCATTTCTTTTCACTGCTGTTGACTTAGTATGGTGAATCATTTTCATTACAGCCATGCTCTTGCACACACCCATCAACTTTATATTCATTCAAAAAATATAGACAATTCTCTGAAATAATTAAGCTCTCCTGAGGACGGTGTGTGTGTTGAGTACGTGAGC